GTTTTTTTGGCTAGTGGTGTTCTGCTAAATGTTTAACAACCAGCTCTCAGCCTGTAATCCCAGCACTCTGGAGGCTGAGGCAGGAGGATCGCTGTGAGTTCGAGACCGGCCTGGGCTACGTAGTGAGTTCCAGGTCAGTCTCAACTACGTAGAGAGACCCTGTCTCAAAAAACAAACAAAATAAAGAAAAAAAGAAAGTGGCAAGAATAATGGGATAAGTGTGCTTGAAGCGAGTGGGAATATTCTGAGAAAAATTAATAGCAATTCATCTTTTACTTTAATAATTAAAAAAAACAGCATTTACTGTTTTCATTGATCACACCTTGTATACTGGCATCTAGTAGGTACAGGGTGGGCATCCTGTGGACCACCCACTGTGCCCAGGATGCCTGCACCACCAGATTGTCCAGTCCAGTGTCCGTGGGGCTGAGACTGAGACACCCTGACCGACAAGGTCAGGTACGGAGCTCTGAAGTGGAAAGATCTTGAAAGACAGCATTCACAAGTAGTTTTCATAATATGTCTATTTACAATGACTTCAAAATGTGTTTGTACTTTTTTGGGGGGGTTTGGGTGGGTACCAGGAATCGAACTTGGATCCTTGAGCTTGCGAGGCAGGCGGCGGAACTACTGAGCTAAATCCCCAGCATGTGTTTGTACTTTTAAAGGTTTTCTTTTTCTGATATGATCGTCCGCTGGTCTGAGGGTACTGGTCCCAGGATCCTTGTGCACACCAAAATCCAAGGATGCTCGAGTCCCCTATATAAAATACTATCAAATTTGCACATAACCCACACAATCCTCTCATACTTCAAGGCATCTCTAGGCTTCTAATAATACCCAATATGATGCCAATGCTATGTACATAGTTATACTGTACCTTTTAGGGCATGGTGACAAGGAAAAAAGCCCATACATGTTCAGCACAGATGTAATTTTTAAAAAAATATTTTCCAGCCGAGAATGATTCCAAGACACCTAACCCAGAGATATCAAACCTACAGACACAGGGTGGCTGAAATTATTCAGTCAACTGTATGCCAACACCCAGCTGCAAGCAGTAAATCTAACTGGAAGTAGTAACACTCCTGGGGAAACAGGGATACAAAAATGAGTAAGTGGAGATCAATAACATCAGTACATAGCAGTGGTCTGATAGATTTAAATCAACGAAGACTTAACCCCCATTAGTTTTCACCAGCATGGAGGTGTTGCTAAATTCGGCCTGAACTGCTTTTGTTGCTGAACTGCCACGCGCCACCACTAGGGGGCGGTAGTCTCACCTGTGCCTCAGCCTTCTGGAAGGATTGCTTTAGGTTTTCCGATCCCTGTACTCTGCTCTCCTCTCTTGAAACTACAAACATGATGTAAACGACTAAATGTGGCTATGTCCAGTAAAACTCTATTTACAAAGTCAGGCGATGGCTGGATCTGGACCATGGGCCATAGTTTGAATTGGGCTTAAACTATCACCTTAACTTGTGGAGGTGTAAGAATGAGAAACTGTAGGAAACACAGCGGGATGTTGGTGTGTTCAACTTCTTACAGCCCTCAGTAAGATTCTACAAGAAAAAAGTAAATCTTGGGGCAAAGCTGGCTCACCAAAACCAGAAATGGAACACAATATGGCTTTACTGAGATGCTTTCCACAACACTTGCCATCTACGTGGATGGCGATTTGGTGGCACCTGCCACACAACCCAATAGTTAGGAGACCTACGGGATGGACAAGTCAAACTCTGCACCAAGAGCACACACCTGTCATCCAAGCACCCTGGGAAGCTGAGGCAGGAAGGTTACAAGTTCAAACCCAGCCTGGGCGATTTAGTACCTTTGTGAGACCTTGTCTCAAAATCAAAAATAAAAAGGGGATGGGCTGTAGCTCAGGCAAAAGCCCTGGTTTCAATCTCTGGTACCCCACAGGGGGGAAAAAAAGTCAGCAGACACTGTCTGTAGAGGGCCAGGTAACTACATTCGGGCTTTGAAGGCCATGCGGTTGCTACGGCAACTCTGCCACGTCTAGTGAAGGCAGCCACACACGGTAGCTACCCAGACAAGCATGCCTATGTTCCAAAGAAACCTGACCCTGAAACTGAACTTTGTGTCATGTTCACCTTGGATTAGTCTTTTTACTTTTTGTCCATTTAAAAGCATAAAAACCATTTTTAGTTCGCAGCCCAAAGAAAAGCACATAGCAGGACAGCTCTGAGGCCCACTGGGCTCTGCTTAAGACCAAGATAAGATTCCCTATTAAAACTGCCTTCCTGGACCCTTTGCTAGGAACCTCCCACAGGACTAAGTAGTTTCATGACCTAGCACAGTGCCTGGATCATAGCAGGTATAAGATGTTTGGCCACTGACTGACGAGTGAATAACAGGCTACTTCCTGAGTGGAAGAGTTACAAAACAGAGTGCTCTGGGGGTGACCACTATCCATCTGCTACCCAGACAAAAAATAAAAAATAAAAAGACCTAGAAACACAAAGACTACAGACGGTAGCCCATGGAGATTTTGTTTGTAAGCCCTGCAAACAAGCAAAGAAATAAAGCTACTTTTGGCATTTGCTAGATAAAAAATTAAAAGATCGGTCTGTCTCTGGCTGAATTTTTCAGTTTTCAGCACAGCATGCTAAAGAGATAGTCTGATGTGCATTATGACCCTCCCGGTCTAGAGCAGAGGTCTTTGTTAGATGCAGACTAAAGAACAGGACCAGGAGTTGGGTGTGATGGTGCAGCACCTGTAGTCCAGCTATCGGAGAAGCTGAGGCAGGAGGATCCCTTAAGCCCAGGATTTGAGGCCAGCCTGGGCAACACAGCAAACAAAAACAAAGAATACTGTTACAGCATAGATCTAAAATGTACCCCGCAAAGTCTCATCTGTTTGGAGGGTGATTGGCTCATGGGGTCCTCGACTCACCAGTGGATTCATCCGTTGATGAGCTCAGTAGCTGAACGTGCTGTGTCACTGGAAGTGGGGCCCTGGAAAGGTGTATTCTTGCCCCTGGCTCCTCCTTTCGCCCTCCGCTTCCTGGACACCATGGATGGAGCTGCTGGCTTCCTCCAGGCCCATTCATGCCATTTCTGCCTTGGAGTCAGCCAACCACAGACTGAACCCACTGGAGACTATGAGTCCAACAAACCTCTCCTCTTTCAAGTTGTAGCACTGGGTGTTTTGTCCCAGCAATGGACGAGTGACTAAGACAACTGCTTTCCGGGAAGCTCTGCAAAATGGAAACACGAGGCTGCTTGCTCAAAGATGTTAAGATGGCACCAGGAGATCACTCGCCAAGCACTGGGCCCTTCAACATGGGGCACTGTAGAGCTCACACAGCCGCCGCGCCAGTAACGGGGGCCAAGGCAGATCATCCCGCGGCGACAGGCTTTCTTGGGTGGGCAGCCCTAACAACTGCGCGTTACCGTCTTTCCGAGACGTCCCATGACCCCCGCCACTCCAGAGGGCAGCATCTCACCCAGGCTGCTGTCACGCCATGAGATTCTGCAGCTCTGGGCAATTTGGTTTTAAATTTTGCATGTACACTCTCAAGACTACACAAAGACATAGAAAAGGGGATTATTGTACGGGAACACTAAGTACAAAATATCTACCTACCCTAAAATCACAAAGCTCACCAGTATAACCTCCCAGCCTTTCCCTGGCATTTCCTTTCCCCACGGCCTTCAGATATACAAAACTTTCCAAGTTGCTCTATGCTAAGTAACCTGGGAGCGACTAGTGGATTTAGCAATTCCCAACCCAGGTGAACTTTGCTGTGAAGCAGCTCCCACGGGGGCTGCTGCGTTTTGAGCGCTCACTTTGGGGCCTGGGGTCGTGGGTTCTCCCACCACCTGTAGGAGCGGGTGTCAGGCAGCCTCCGACCCTCCTGTGCCCGGGTCTGTGCACGCGCATTCACACACAGCAACGCGCCAAGCATTCGGAACCAGGCTCATTGGAACAGAGACACAAAATAACTTTAATGCAAATAACAAAACAAGTTAGTCTGCCTCCATCATACGTTCCCCCCCAAGAAAGGATTACAGTACTTTATAAAAATGTCATAAGATATGCAAACTATAGTTCCTTCAAATACAGTTATAAATTTGGTCCTAATATTTGCTTCTTGGTCTATGGCTATACCACCCTGAATGCGCCTGATCTCGTCTAATATTTGCTTCCTGGACATCTTAGCATCTTTGGTTGTAGTTCTCGAATAACCGACAATAAGCACCAACTGAGGGCTGATTCTACTATGGGGAAGATGGGCGGATATTTTCTCCCTGACTTCGCCAGCTCTCTCCACCTTCCCCAGTGCCGCGTCGCACAGCAGGGAAGAAGCATCTCTCCTGTCCCCCCAAACCTCAGTGTCGCAGATGGATGTGGCCCTGATGTCAGACAGAGGGGCAGCCAGCTGGGAAAACCCGAGGTCATCCTGGACGGTACCCATGCAGACACCTTTGCAGCCCTGAGGATTTTTTGGGGGAAGGGAATTCACGCACTCCTTGAGGGTTAGGCTCCAAGATATTTTGTGGTTCCATTGTGGTGTCAGAGCATTAGAGAGAGCCCACCTGGGGAGTAAGTGTGAAGGGCACTTTACACCCAGATCCCACCATACCTGATATCCACCTGAGTGGCTCTGCTGCCCAGATCATGCCTCTTGGGGATCCTCTTTTGCCTCATTTGCTGTGGGGTCCTTGGGGTCCTCCTCAGAAGTGTTCTCTGGGTATAGTACAGGCAGGCACTGCCCTCAAATGCCATCTGTCTGAGCTGATTTAGGCGGATCTAATGCCTTGGAGCATTTAAAAACAGGTGCACATAAGCCAGGCTTCCTCCAACCTCGGGGCCTGTTTCGAATCCTCAGCGGTGCCTTCTGCAGCTCCATCTGAGTTTGTGGTCAGTGTTCCTAACTGGTCTGTCCCCTCCACCAGCCCCAGGAGGACACAGGCTGTCTTGGGAGGGCGTCCCTGGAGCCCAGCACGTGGCGAGTCTGCCAGAATTTATGTTGAATAAACGAGCAAGTGAGAGAACGGTGGATGGTTCTCTGGGGCTGCAGGGATGGGAGTTAGCAGAGGCAGCCAGCTCTAGGGCACAGGGCCGGAAGAGAAGAAAGAGGCCCGGGAAGGTGTGGGGCCTCTGGGACACATGCCTGGGAGCGCAGCGCAGGTGGCCCGGATGTAAACAGCTGTGGAAGAGTCAGCAAGAACTGAGTGCTGATACGGAAGCCTTGTCTGGCTGGAATGGGCCTTCTCCACACAAGTCTGCTAGCAGCCTGCTCACCTGGCTTGGGGCTTGTAGTGTCCAAGCCAGTGCATCCCAGCACCTTCCGAGGAGCTTGTTAGAAATGCAGATTCCCAGGGCCGTCCCCTGAAGACCTAGGCTGTGGGTCGGGGGAGTGCACCTGGAGTCTGCGTGTTAAAATAGGGTCCATGGAATCACTTGTAGAGATGCTTTGCCTACATCTGAGGACTACCGGAAGATCACTGCCCCTAAGGCAAGTCAGAGACACTGACAGCAATTCCGGGTGGCAACCCCACCCCACTGCAGGGGGACAAGGGCTCTGGTTTCCTTGTAGACAGGACATCGGGGGCTGTCCACACCTGGTTCTCAGGTGAACTTGGGCTCAGCCACTGAGGACACTGTAAGCCCTCACCTGGGTCCCTCCTCACCACCTCTTCCACCTGGGGACAGATTCAGGAAGGGAAGTTGAGGAGGGGGTGGGGGGGCGAGGCCAAGCCTTATAGGCAGCACCTCCCAGAGACCCAGCCTGCTCTCCACACCCCTCCCCAGCCCCAGGTTTAAGAAACATCCCACCCAGTGCTCCCTGGATTGTGCCTTTGTCCTGCTGAGACTCTTGGGTAGGCAGGAGTTCTGAATACCAGCCTATCCTCTGATCTCAAAAACACAAGAACTCCTCTCTCTCCACTCCCGTCCCCCATCCCTTTTTGGCTTCTAAAGGAAACAATATGTTTGCTAGAAAAACCACACAAAAAAAAAAAAAGGTTATATACAAAATGGTTATCTGGTGTGGATTCTGCAGAGCCGGGACCCAGCTCCGTGGCTCTATTTGCGCTTCCGCAGGACGGTGTACATGAGGCTGCTGACCAAGGTGAAGGCGAAGGCCACCCAGGCCAGGATGAACGAGTAGCCGTATCTGCCTTCTGATGTCTGCAAGTAGACAAGGTTTGTCCTGTGAAAGTCCTCTCGGCGGTCGGTGTAAATCGCAGCACCAATCATGACGCACAGACCTGTCCGGGACAAAGCAGGGTTCCCATATAGCCACAGTGCGCTCCAGTCAGGCGTTGGCCTGGGGATTTAGCTCAGTGGTTCTGCTGCCTGCCTTGCAAGCGCAAGGTCCTGAGTTCGATTCCCGGGTATCAAAAACAAAAAACCAAAGAGTCAGGGGCCTGGGGCTGGAGTGAAGACAGACTTCAGCCTCTAGTGCTGGTAGGTACTCATCCCAGTTGATTAGGAACATTACACTAATGGTGGCACAGTATTGCCTCCTACCTTGTAGCTACTTTCTTCCCTTTACTGCTGGCCTAATCTAGTCTTGCTGGGGCATCAAGCACCAGCCCAGAAGAAGGAGGGAGCACCCTTGTCCTATGAAAGGGCCTGAGTTTATACACACAGTCCAGGCTCTGTGTTCCAACAGAACTTTATTTACAAAAGCATGGGCCACAGTTTGTCAAACCTGTTTACGTGTTATAATCTTTGGATCTATAGATTCTGGCCACAGAAAACCCTTCAGTGAAAAATATTATTGCTTGGAAAGATGAGGGAAAAGAAAGCATTTCCAATTGCATGCTTCTTTAGATACGGATAGGTCAGGATGGAATGTTTGGTGCTGCAGCAGCCTTTTTGGGGCCATGAAAGGTCGTCAACATTTTTAAGATGACAGAATAAAAGGATGGAAAGAGGTGGGGTGTTTGATGCTGAGGATCTGCCAAACCAACTCTGGTACCTTCCACCTCCAAGTTACTTATGTAAGAACAGGAAGTACCCTTATGGCTGAAGTCACTGTTCACCGGCTTTTCCCCTTCGTGTAGCCCAAACAGCATCCTAACTGAAATACCTGCAGCACCAATATTCACAGACAGGAAGCTGAGAGCACTGACTGTCCTTGGGGGTCCTATTCCTCTCCTGGACAGGCAGTTCTTATAGATCTGTCCACTGGGGGTGTCCCCGGCCAGCTTGATTAAAACAACCACAAATGCTCCAGTCATGTCAGAGGCTCCTTCACCTGATTCCAGCCTTGCTCAACTTCACAGGTAGAAAAGTATTCTCGGACCTGAGCTTGCTCCAAGTTCCTCCAGATGTGAGGCTGAGTTGCTCATCTCTTTACCTCCAGGAGCCTGCACAGGTCCGGCCCAAAGTACGCACATCTGCCACCAAAGCAGCCTTAAACCTGTTGGTGGCTTCCCACTGGCTTAGGAGACGCCCTCACCGTCTTCCGGAGCTGCGAGACCCCACAGGGGCGCTGCCCACCCCTCTGGCCCACGTCCCCCACAGCCCCACTGGCCTGCTCTCAGGCTGCCTGGTGTGGGGCTCGGGCCACACGATTCCCGCCCCCAGCTCGCTCTCTCCCCTCCCTAACCCAGACGTCACATTGTAGACAGCAGCTCCCCCTCCCTCACCGATCCCGGCTCAGGATTCACAGCCTCCCGAGGCCCACCTTCCCCGACTCCTAACTAAATCTGAACGCCGGGTTATAAAGTGCTCAGCCAGCTTCTCCTTTCTGAGGGTTTGCCGGACTCACACGACATGAGCTGGATGGTGGCGGTCAGGATGAACCTCTCCCCCTGCTTGAGGCGGAAGAGCTGCAGCAGGAAGATGACGAAGGCGATGCAGCAGAGGATGGTGGACAGGATCATGGAGGCCTGCACGGCCTGCATTATGGAGTAATCTGCGGGCAGAGGGTGCGGGCGCATGCTGAGGACCCGTACATCTACACCTACACCTACATCTATCTACATCTACATCTACATCTACATCTACATCTACATCTACATCTACGCAGGGGCAGCCGAGGGCAGCTGAGGAGCCTTCCGGACCGGCGCGGAGGGAGGTGCCTCGGCCAGTCAAGCTTCCCCGCCCACCTCTAGCTTGGGTGCTGAGCTGTGACTCGGGTTTGTTCTGCCCCCCTCACCCAGGAGGCACTGAGCAAAGCCAGGCCGGGCCACCTCGGCGGGTGGGGTCGGAACATCCCTTCCCCGGGGTGGGGGGCACACTCACCCTCGAAGTTCTCATTGATTTCTGTACAGTTCGTGGTGTTGACGCACACCCTCCAGACATCTGCAAAAAAGTCCTCTCCTACCCACCAGGTCTGCAAGGGGAAACGGCAACAGAGAAGGAGTGTTGGTCACTGAGGCCACACGGAGTCCTCAGCATGTGAGAAGCAAGGGGACACTGCCCCCACTGGGCTCCATCCTTCAAACCGCAGGGTGCTGGTGAGTCACCTGGGTCTCGTTCAACGCGGGCTCTGAGGCAGGAGGCCTGGGGAGGGGCTGGAGGGCTGACCCGGAACGAGGTCCCAGACGGCCCAGACTGCAGGTCTGCGGAGGGACCCACGGGGCAGATGAGGCCAAGCTGAGGCTACTCAGAGACGATCCCACCGGAAGGCATGATGTGGACAGGGCGCTGGCAGAGCAGACACCAAACTCTCCTGCCTCGGCCGGGGCACCCACCTCTCTCTGAGCTCTCTGCACCCCGCCTGCCCAGGATGGCCTTCCTTCTGCTGTGCTTCCCCCAAAGACTGGGCGCCTCCCTCACTGGGGGCCCAGCTATGAAGCTGAGCACAGTTCCGAGACCATGATGAGCACCGTCTGTCCCGCTGTCTCCTCAGCAGAGGGTGCGTGCAGGACTCCTGCTCCCAAAGCTGTCTGCCCTGTTTACTGAGTCTGGGTCCTTCTCAGGATCCCAAAGGATGCAATGCAGAACTAGACATAGAAGAGAATATCCAATACCATGTATCTCTCAGACTGTGAGCCCTCTCGAACAGCATTCACGGGGTCCCTACTCGGGCCACTCAGAGCAGCTCAGCAAGAACGTCTGGGACACGAGCTGCAGCCACCTCCCCTGACAGAATCTAGGACCTACAGCCCCCAGGGTGGTGTACATCCTGCCAGGGCCTGAACCACTGGAGGCTCAGTTCCCTCATCAGGAAATGATCGGCACTAAAGGACCGAGGCAGGCCATAGTGGCCGGGTGTTACCAAGCGGCAGGTGTGACTGCTGTCAAGATGACTAATCATAGGGAACGTCTAGGGGGCAGAGCTGGTGACCATTTGGGGGGCCTCTGAGTGGTGTTTCAGCCCCTTAAATATCTCTATAGTTTAAAATGATCAGGATTAAAGCCAGGCCTTTGGATCAGGGTGTGGGCTCAAGAGAATCTTTGTTAAAAGCTTCACTTCCTGCCTGGAAGGATTTTAATGTAAGCCAAGAGATTATTAAATATGCTCTTGCCATATGGCCGCCAGCTGGATACTAAAGGGAAGAGTTAAATTTTCAAGGGCCACGTAGAGTCTGGAAAGTTCCATGCATGAGTTCTACAGGGAGGGCATGGCCAGGTGAGCTAGGCTTCCCAGCTGGTAAGGAGGTGCTAGGGACAGGGAGCAGAGGTGGCCCAGGATGGGAGGAGAGTGGCCCTCGGTGATCTTGCTCTCTGTGAGACAGTGGGCAATGTCTGAAGAGAACTTTGATTCTTATAAATAGGGTGGATGTCTTAGTGGCATCCAACGGCATGCTGCTAGGGTTCTTCAATGGCCTGGGCAGGCCCTGCAACCAAGAATTATCCAGCTCGGATAAGGTTAAGACCTAAGATCTGCAGGACAGCCGAATTCACACACACAGTCCTCAAAGGGCCGCCCAGAGTCAGGCGTCCAAGTAGGATCCATGGGTGGGGGGATCTAGAGGGGAGAGGACGCAGGTCCCCGAAGTCCAAACCCAAACAGGTGTTGCCCTAGACGCTCCACACAGAAGCCGTGGTGGCTGAGCTTGATTGTGTCAGCCTGACTGGCATGGGAGTGACCGGGGGCAGTGGAGCACACGTCCGGGAGCGTCAGTTTGCACACCAGAGGCGTGACCTGAGGGTCTCTGTCTGGTCCCTAGTGCCTTCCTTTCTGGCACCATCCCCCGCTCTCTTCCCAGCTGCCATAACTGAGCAGCTCTGCTCCACCACGCCCTTCCACCACGGAGCCAGCTGACCATGGACTGAATCCCCCGAAGCCATGAGTGAAGTTCAACCTCTTCTTCTTTAAGTTGTGGGGGTCGGGGGCTGTGCCTCCGAATCTAATCAAGATGCCCAGGAGACACCTGGGCAGGGAGGTCACCCTCAAGTCACAGTCAAGGCAACCCTGTCCTCCATTCTGCTTCTACTGGCTCTAGATTTCAAGGCCCCCAAAATGATCGAGAAACTCACATTGTCGATGGTGGCAATGAACAGCAGAGCTGAAGAGGTGATGTGGAAGGCAATGATGAAGAAAAGAAGCACCAACATGTTCACAGAGCAGGGTGGGCCGAGAGCTCACACTGAAGCCCAGAGGAGGAGGTGCTAAAAGGAGGAGGAACAAGTTCAGTGACAGAACAAAATTCAAAAGACGAATGATAAAATTTTGTTTTATTTTGCATTGTTTTTTTTTTTGTTTTTTTGAGACAGGGTCTTCCTCAGTTGCCCAGGCTAACCTAAAACTTGCAACCCTCCTGCCTCAGCCTACAGAGTGCCAGGATTTTAGGCACGCACCACAATACCAATCTATAAATGAGCAACAGTGGATGGGGCCTGAGAAAATAAAAAATTTCTCTTCTCATCTTCCCTCCCCTAGAGACTTTTAGGGAACCAGAATCTGGCCAGGGGTGCCAAGAATTTCTTGTGGAAAAGAAGGATAAAGATTTGTTAAAATCCCTAACTCAGGAAACCGCTGTGCCTCAGCAGGCTGCAGGTACAGGGGTCAAGAAGGAGCAGCTCAGTGTACAAATATTCTGTTCACGGGCTGGGGGTGTGGCTTCGTGGGAGAGCACTTGCTTAGCATGCTCAAGGCCCAAGGTTCAATTTGTCAGTTGCAAAAAGCAAATAAATAAATAAAGCCCTATTCCTGACCTCCTCTATCCCTGGGACTCATGATCTGAGTCTTCATTATCAGAGGCCCTGTTTTGTAACAAAGCAAAATGATCACAATACAAAAGTATTTACAAAGGATCTGACCCGTTAGAAAATCAGTCCTCACTCTAACACTGCTCTTCTTAATAGCTATCCCCATATGAACAACACTGGCTCACTAAATAGAAATACAGGGGGTGGTAGATAGCAGCCATTTCTCTTCCCTCACATTAATCTAACAGGAAAACTACATTTCCCAGACTCCCTTGCAGGTAGATTGGAGCAAAAAGAGCAGTTGTGAGTCCTCCACATGCCCCCCTCACCCCATGAGGAAGTTGAGATGGTAGAGCCACACTACACTGAAACCTCACACCTTGGACAGAGACATGGATTGAGACACCTTGAATTGAGAAATAGGCCTCTGGATGTTAAGCCACTGAGAGGGCAGGGTGATTTTTTTTTTACTCTGGTAAAATAATCTGAATCATGCATGTACAATAGGAAGTGACTACAAAGTGAACTTAGAGATCTTGCAAAAGAACCAAAATTACACTAATCTGATGAAAGCAACGCTGGGTGATTCCTCAAAGGGCACCAGGGGCATTTACATGTGAGAACTTGGAGTAGTTTGCAATAAGAGAAGAAACAAATAAGAGAAGATATGGGTGAAATAAAGCATTCAAAAGAATGCTGTGAATACCAAAGGATTAAAAGTCATACTTGAGAAAGCTGATGAAATCTCTGAACATTTTTATAAACATGACCATCATCTTGCTCAACAAAACCCAAATATCCAGTGAGGATGGACGTTCCATCTGTGATCTGATTGGAGGGTACAACTCCCCACCCCCAAATCAACACTTGACTCACTCTTCTTCTATCCCAATAATTTGCAACCAGAGCCTATTACTAACATTTTATAAATAATAAAATCAATTTTTAAAGATACATTCCAAATCTGACCATGTTTTCATTATGATAAAATGTTAGCCCCATTTTAAATGGAATACACACACATATATGTGTACAAACACATATTTTTTGAACCACTTAACGAGTAAGCTGCCTAAAACCAAACCTCTTTATGTCTAATTACATTAATATGTAATTCTGAAAAACAAGAGCATTTTCTTACATACCCACAGTATGATGTCACAATTAAGAAATATAATAGAATCCTATCATTTCACCCTTTGTTTATATATTCAAATTTCCCCAATAACCTTCTGGATAACGTTCCTTTTTCCTTATCCAGGATCCAATCCAAGAGGATGAGTATCTAGTCCAGAATAGTCCCTCATTCTTTCTTTGTTTTTCATGACACTGATATTACTTAGGAGAATTGTCCATTTATTGGATGAAATTTCCAGTGAATTTGTGTTTCATGTTTTCTTATGATCCAATTCAGGTAATGTTTCCTTGGCAGTAAAGCTACCTAAATTATGTGTCCTCAGAACACCCACCAGGAGGTGCATTCTGTCAGACTCTCCTCTTACCGCTGATTTCAGCTGTGATCAGCTGGTTATGATCTTCCAGCTTCACTCACTGAACATTATTCCTTTGTAATTACAAAAGTAATTGAGGGGGACATATTTTTATTGTATGTTTGGGTTTTTGGGGTTTTTTTGGGGGGTACCAGGGATCAAACTCAGGTCCGTGCTTGCAAGGCAGGTGGCAGAAGCACTAAGCTAAATCTCCAGCCCATATTTTTATTATAGTAAAATACATACAATATAAAATTTGCCATCCATGAGCGTATATTCAAAATACCATTTATCCATCGTCACCATCTAAAACATTTCAGCACTCTCAAAGCAAAGTGTATCCATTAAGCAGTCACTGCCCATTTTCCCTCCTTCTGACCCCTGGCGGCCACTAACTGCTCTCTGTCTCTATGCATTTCGGTTCTGGACATGCAGATGGGATCATACGTATGTGCCCTTTTCTTCATTTGGCACCATGTTTTCAAGGCCCACTCTGCTGTAGCATGGCTAAGGAGCGATGTGGAGGTAATGCAGGCAGCACAATGCTCTAAGAACTTTAACCCAGTCATTTGTGCTTCTGCTGATTCTTTTTTTAAAGCGATACTGGAGGTTGAACGTAGGTTGGCACTGAACCACGTCCCCGTCCTGCTCCTCCCCTCCCCCTTCCTTCCTCTCTCTCTCCTCCCTCTCTGACAAGTCTTGCTGAATTGCCTAGACTGGACCTGGAACCCTCCTCCTACCTCAGCCTCAGAGTACTAGGATTACCAGGTGTGTCACCACGCCCAGCTTGCTATTTCTGAAAAGGTATTGATGAAAGGTATCTTTTTCTGGTACTCTCCTCCTTCTGTGGACACACACTACACAAACCCTCCACCAGCTCTCCTCCTGTTATTTCCTCGTGGGACTGGCTTCGGCTTCTGGGCTCACCCAGGGCTGCTCTCTGAGACCCAGGACTCATCCCAGTGAGCCAGCAGCGGTGTGGCTGTAGCACTCGGCCTGGGAGATCCCAGCAGTAGATCTGTGCATCACCACTTGGGAAAACCCAATGAAGCAGCTCAGAAATTCTTCCAATTCTTTTCACACGGACAAATTCCCCTTTGTTTACGCCTGCATCATTCTCAGTTGCTGTCCTGTGCTGCCTCAAAATAATTGCATTTCTGAGCTTGGAAAAAGGCTCACAGACCATGCTGGCTGCCATGCTACTTTAACAGCAGCTGGAATGCCAAAGGGCCAAGTTCACCAGGGCCAGGGACTCCAAGATGAGAACGGCCCCACGCACTGTCCAACCCCGATGACACAAATGCATACGGATGCAAAACTTAAACTTTTTGGAAAAGAGAAAAAAAGGCTTTAACCCATTTTTTCCTCAAAGCACGAATCCCAAAGAGTGGAATTCAAATATTACCAAGCATGGTTTTGAACGGTACATTGCTGCGGCATTAAATAACCCTGAACCACCTGGAGAGAAAAGCCTCAACTCAGTCCTTCTAAGTACACCTGGGAAAAAGACCCAGCTCAGGGCCTGTCTGTCTCTAACACTTGCCAGGCTTTTCTTGCTTTTTGTTTTTTGTCTGTTTGCTTGCTTGTTTCACAAAAAAGAAAAGCCTAAGCTTTTGCCAGGCCACAGCTTGTAGCTAGAATTTAATAGCACTATTTTGAGTTTATTTAAGGTTCTTTCTTTTTTTCTCCATTAAATTTATTGGTACATTTAAAGCAAACAAGACAGTTACATTCATCATTGGGGATCTTGTACCTTTACATGCCAGGTCTTGGTTCTTGTTTTCTCCCCATTCCCCTGCCCTGCCTTCACCCCCTTCACCTGTCCTATTTACAAAGACTTTGTTTCTAATTTTTCATTTTCTCATATTTTTTCTTGTCCCTTATTTCCTTACCCTTCCCTTTCCACTTCCCCTTCAGCCATTTTCTTCCTATTTCACACTCCCAATTATACCATTTGAACCTTATTTACACGTTTAGCTTTTCACACCAGAGAAACTATTAGGTATTTACTCAAGTGTGTCCTATTTCTTTCACTTAAAGATATACCCTCAATGTGCAGCCATTTAGCTATAAATGTTTCTAGTTTCTCATTCTTTATGGCTGAGTAGTACTCCATTTATAGTAGTGACATAAAGTATCCTTTTAAAACAAATTTGTTAAAAGTTTTAAACTGGGTCATTTAAGAAAAATACTATGTAAGTACAAAGGTGGACCTCCGAGCTAGAAGTCCTAACAGTAGATCTCAAAGGCCTGACAGACGTCTGGGAGGCACTGCTTAATCCATGGGAGTGATTTCCCTTGGAAATTTCATATCAACATTTTTTATTATTATTACTATCATTGGTACCAGGGATCGAAATCAGGGCCTTGCACTTGCCAGGCAGGTGGTGGAACCACTGAGCTAAATCCCCGGCCCTGGACATTTCAGAGATCAGGAATCAGCTCCTACAGGGAAAAGGCTATGCTTTTGAGCCCAGCTTAAGAAAAACATATGCAAGCTTACAAGGGTGGCTGGAGATTGTTTTAAACCCTTGGGCACCCATGAGATTTAGGGAACACAGTAGATGTCACTTACTTAGTACTCTCCCATGATGACACCAGGGATTCAGATGTCCATGAAAAAGCAAAATGGGGTAAAACAATGACAGAACTTGTGACATTGCTGGTGACCTCATCAGAGGCCTTGGAGGAAATTATATATGAGAAGGAGCCCCACAAATCTTTAAGAGGGAACAAAAATGACCCATTTCTCCTTCGTCTCTATATAAAATAATGTCTCCCTTGCCTACCACCATACCTGTCTGCAGTCTCATAGAGCTGGCAATGCTGACACACACACCTCCCAGTCCCCTTCCTAGAAACAGCCATTCTCCTCAGCTTCCTGTCATTCTTCCACGGGTATTTGTTAGGGGAACACTTATTCCCCACTCCTCCTGTTTCTGGAGGGAGCCGCACCACAGTAACACAGCC